AAGACCTCTGCAGTAACATCACTGGTAGGCATAGCGCAGATAAGCAGCCCGTGGCCTCAATAAGGTTGTCGAGGATTCCATAGAGTGGAGCGGATGGGCTCAGAAAAATCGGGAAGAAATGGTGGGAGAGGAGATCAAAGAAAATTTCAGACAATGAAAGACCTTGATAGATGAATGAGGGGAACTCTCGATCGGGTAGCTAGACTTTGTACAGAAGCTCTGACAGTGACACATGCCGGGATTTTGAGACTTGTGGTAATGGCTTGACGGCTCGTGAGCTTGTCTTGGAGTAGAAGATGGAAAGGGGATGCCTGGTTGGTTAATTTACTTTGGATAAGGCAGCGATAACTACTGTGCCAATTTCTGAAACGAAGGTGACAGTAAGCAGTTTTGGAAGGGTTAACTCAACACTTGCTGGTGGGTGACTTTGCTGAATTTCACAGAGGTGGCAAGCAGCCGGAGTTACTTCATAACTGGATCTAGCGGAGAGAAAATGACTGGATGGATCAATGTAGCAGACCGGATTGTTGGCTGGCAAGAAAACTGCTAGAAAGTTTCCTGGGACGGCAGGTGTCAGCGGCGTTCGGTTACTCTGAAGCACCGTGTTGACGTTCAGAGTGTTTGGGTTTCTTGGATTGCCTGGAGGGAAATCGATGAAGCAGAGCTGTGTAGTTCTTCATCTGATGTGGTGACGGACAAGAGGGCGATTGTAAGCAAATGGAAGGGTGAGTAAAATTACGTTACTCTTGTGAGATAAGTTGTATTAAAGATCTTCTCGAAAGAGCAAGAATGAAACGTGTTCTCACGAAAACGGGAACAAACAGCTTGTAGAACTTGGGGGTCATATATAATATAAGAACTGGAAGGGCCGTGGTTGGAGGTGTGGTCCTGCTCCGGAAATTCAGATAATTTTTCTCCAATAGGTGTAGGCTGCAGGTGGATTTCCATGATGAATTGAGTATTTCTTCTTCAGTCACCTTTCTCAGTATGTGTTTATACACCTCTCTGTCTTGAATCATTACTTATTTCTGGCTCTCTTCCACAGCGTGGCTTTTGTTCTGTCCTGTCTTTTAGCATTCAAGAGAATTTTATTTTGAAAGGCCAAACCACTCATAGGCATCCTGTTCACACAGTAGTAGTCACAATAGTAGTAGTGAGATAGCCACACGATAGTGAATAATATATATCAAAGAAACTGTCATATTTTACAAGTGCCAGAAAAAAAACTGCTACTGATGCTTTTCAGCTTTTATTATGAAAGTCATTTACAGCTTCTGTGCGGTCGAAGGGTTTGGTGGCAAAGGCAGTGCAGGTCTTTTTTCTTTTATGTTTTGTAACACAGCAGCTTCCATTTCCACAACACTTAATGACCTGACAAACTTAGTTTATCTTGCTCTCAATTGTCCTGAGGGATAGCAGCTACTTTTCTTTTACAAGTCAGGTTTTACAAGTCTACTTGTGTTTTGTTTTAGGTTTTTGCTTTTTAGTAAGATTGAAGTAAGGCCTTCAATCCTCAAGGAGCTACTGAGGATGGGCTTTGTCAGCTAGAGGAGTGAATTCATAAAATAAAGTAATGTGAAAAAAATGTTGTTGTTTTGCATATTTGTCATACATGTTTCAGATCATCAAACAAATTTTAATGTTACAGATAGATACTTAAGTAAATGCAAAATACAGTTTAAAAGAATTATTTCATTTATTAAGGGGAAAAAACAATTAAAACCCCCTTGTCACAAAGATTAACCAGCAATTTCTGGAAAGCTCAAGTTTCACTAGCTGCACCAGGGTTGAGTACTGACAGACCCGTTGGATCAATAAATCATTTAAATAGAACCTGTCTGACAAAGTGAAGCAGGATAAAAGATCTCAAAAATCTTTTATGATCTAAAGAAACTGATGACACACAAAATCACCGACATCTATCAGTCTAAAAAGTGTTACAAAATAATTTCTACAGCTCTGGGATTCTAGCAAACCATGGTGAGAGCTATTATCCATAAATAGAAAATCTTTGAACAGTGGTGGACCTTTTCCAGGGGTGGTCGGCTTACCAAAATTACTCCAAGACAGACTGACAAGTCTCCAAGAACTCACAAAAGCACCTATAACAACATCCAAAGACCTGCAGGTCCCTCTTTTCATGATTAAACAATAAGAAAGTGACTGAGCTAAAATGGCATCTGTTGCGAGCTCCAAGGTAAAAACCACTGTTGACCAAACAGAACACAAAGGCTTGTCTCACATTTTCACATTGAGAACTTCTTGGAAGATTTGCATCCAATTACATCTGACATATAACTAGCATACACCTCTCATAAAAAAAATCAATGGAACCAGCCAATGTGGTAGTGTAATGGTCTGGGATTACTTTGCTGCTTCAGGATTTGGATGACTTGGCCAATGATTTTCTGGTAGAGAGCAGAATTCATCAAAGATCAGTTTGTGCCCTAAAGCTCAAGCACACTTGGGTTATGCAACAGAACAATGATCTGAAACATTCAGGTGCGGCAACTATGCAAACAAATTAGAAATCAGGAAGAAATCAAATTCTGTTTCACAGATGTATGAGACAAAATATGAACTATATAGGTCCTAGAAGACCCAGAGGAAATACTGTGAGAAAGAACGCCCACCTGTCTTCGGTATTTTTCTCTCAGACAAGATGATAATCTAAGGTACGAAAGAGGATTAGGGCCACTGAAAAAAAGTGGGCACGTCTTTTTTTTCTTCTTTTCCAGAGTTCTGAGAAAAAAGTCAGAATTCTGACTTTAATCTCAGAATTCTGATGAAAAAATCAGATATCTGAGAAAAAAGTCAGGATTCTAAGAAAAAAGTCAGAATCCTGACTTTTTTCTTAGAATTCTGGAAAAGAAGAAGAAAAAAAAAGACGTGCCCACTTTTTTTTCCCAGTGGCCCTAATCCTCTTTCGTACTAAAGAGTAAATGTGCAGGGAAATGTCACACATTAGAGCGGACTAATATGTTTCATGTAACACTGATGAACTGCTAGCTGTGAGAATGAATCCATATTTCTGAAGGAACTCTATTTTGTTTTTGTCGTTTGAAATCATTTTGAATTCAATCTGAATATATGCACTGCTTGGATTCCCCTGGTGGCTATGATGAAGTTTGTGATTAAATGGACAGTTGTGGCTCAGGAGGTTGAGGGGAACATGTGGAACAGCAATCCACATGTCAAAGTGTCATTTAGCAAGATACTGAAGTTATACCTGATACAGTCATCAGAATGTGTGTGTGCGTGTTTGTTGGTACGGTTGGACTCTATTCCATTTAAGCCTACCACAATACTTGTGTTTATTTTTGATTATATTTTGTATTATAATTATTTAGCTGATTGGACTCTTGCATTATTTCACTTTGTTGCCTCAAGGTCCTTATAGCACAACGTGATTTGTGCTCTATACATACACTGAATTGATTTTTTTTCTACTAAAATTAGTCCCTTATTTTTTCATTTTTGCATTGCAATATTTTAATGAACTGAAGCTATTTTGTTTTGAGTTTTAATATTTTGTCTGCTGTGACACAATACATCTAACTGACTAAACTATTGCCTGAGTAGCTTTAAACTAAACTGATTCTGTAAATTCAAACATTACCTCAAAGAGTGTTTCTGTTTTAATCCAACAAAAATTGCTATTAGTTTAAAACTGACATGTGCAGTACATAACATAGCATATGGTGGACCAATCAAAAAAGAGTGCACAACAGAGGAGTATAAAATTATGTAGATTCAGTCATCTGTTCTGTAATGGCTAAATGTTATGGTTCAGGCTTTATTGTGCGTGGAAAAACCCTCATATTACTCCAAACATAGCTCTCTTTCTTGATGCAGTCTGGAAGAGATTTACTGCCACTATCAGCATATGCACTCACCAGAGATCAGGAGAAACTAGACAGTCAGTGATCATTCACAGAGAAATAGTTACATTAAATACCTTACAAAAATATACAGATAGCACTGATTCAGAGCGCTCAATGTTTCTATGTAGATGTATGTTTTAAAATAAGCCTTGTGAACTTCATTAACAGAGCCCTGGAATTATTAGACAGGGAAGAGAGGGCTGCACTGGCAAAAAAAAAAATCACCCTGCTAAAAAAAATGAGCAAATGCAGCTCCTATTTACATATAAAAAGCTCTATTAATCAAGGTAAGTGTCATTACAGCATGGCTCATTGAGCAGAGGAGAGTGGGTGTTAAATAAAATTCTCTGTGGTTGGTGCCTCCGGCAGGCGATATGTCTTGATTTGAGAACTGTCAGCAGAGGTGAGAAGCTGATAGAGGGTGGAAGGGGAGACAGAGGGGGGAGCATTACCCGATTCTTAATCAAATTGCAGCGGGAGAAGAGAATGAGGACAAAACTGGCGGTTTGGGGGTGGAGAAGGAGAGAGAAAGTGGTTGAAGTTAGATTTAAAATGGAGTGTGAATCTGTTTCCCCCACAATGACTTGTTTACTGATGTTTACTGAGAGAGAAAAAAAAGCTTTTTATTCTGAAAGATGGTCTGACTGACCCCACGGATGTTTAAAATCTGGACTGACTGAAATAATCATCTACAAAAATAATATAGTTTATATGTAAATAATTGTTTTAAAAAAAAAGAAGAAAGGAGTCTGACAAGGCACCAATCCTAAAGCCTTGTGCAATGCATGAACTTGAGCCAAAAAGATGTCATTTGTGAAACCATTAAGAAGATACTGACATTCTTTCTTATTTCAGTTTCATATCTATTTGTAAAAGAATAACTGAAAATCTCTAATTCCACAAGTTTGTGCTGAGATACCTAACGCTGGCATTACCATGACAATTAAAAGACCTTGCTGTGTCTATGTTAGACTGTAAACAAACTGAAAGAGCAGAGTGGAAGACCAAGTAATAAGAGATGAGGAGAAGTGAGTTCAAGAGTTCAAAATTGCTTTTCTGGGATGAAACAAAATGAAAAGTGACAAAGACTTTACTTCTTACTTCACCCTGTTGTTCAGGCTTGCCTCAGTGGAGTGAATTTACATGTAGTGCCACTGCCCATCCATCCCCATATTCATACCCATGCTACCCATCGGCCCTGCAAGTAAAGTAAATACACTGTTAAGAACCACCAACACAAGACAGAACAGTCCTGCACAGTATCACAGAAACCAATTGAATTTTTCAAAATATTCATAAAGGACTTTTAAGTTCAGCATCAACCTTTCTTGAGTAAAAATACACAACATAACTACTTTTATATTTACTTGTTTAATGATAGGTTTCACTCATAAAGTGATGTGCTCTGAATCAAATGTTGCATTTATTATATATGCCACTTCTTTGACTTTTGGTTCTTTTTTGCATTTTCAATGAAGCCTATAGACATAGATAATATAGACATGTTCCTCTATGGTTGTTGCCACTTCCTAACATATAAAACCTGCTTTGTGTCACTTTATATCTTTATCCTGTCCTTCTTTTTGTATTATGTTCAGTATTACTTATATGTCTCTCTGTAAATGTATAAAAATGCACTTATACGCATGCAGATGGACTTTCTTGACCTATGCACTGGCCTGACCCACATACTCTTATTTTCTGTCCACTGGGGCTGCAATTAACCATGCCCTCATTTTCATTGAGATAAGGACAAATAACAAGGTTTACTTTACTAGACCATAGAAACTCACGAGGACAAGATGAAACCTGTTACACTGATTTTGTCCGTCATGATTTTTTTTTTTTAAATAAATGTTTGAGCGATTACTCACCACCAGGTCGAAGATTCATGTGCTGCTGCCCATCAAGAACAAAGCCTCCCATTGGCTGGCCATCTGGACTGTAAGCTGTACCCTGACTTACTGTGAGAGAAGATGAGAAATAAGACTATTGGTTAACTTGAGGTTAAATTTCGACCCCAATTCATACTGAAGGAAAGGAACTATTAGCAGTATAGTGAACACTGAACCTGCTCTGTTCGACTGGTCAATCATAGGCTGGACTATTCTCCTCCTTGCATTGATAAACCTGGAAAACAAAGATCAGTAACAATGAAAATGCTTAAATAATTTTTATTAAGTTCAATATTCTTGACCCTTGAGAACAGATACATGATCCAAAAAAAGAAAAGAAAAAACCTGACGTGAAAGAATACTTTTTTCGACTTTTTTTTAGAAAATAAATTACAGTTAGTTTCTTTCCCAGTGGTGTTAGTACACAGAGATTTCTGATAACTTTGCACAGAAATTAAGTGCATTCTCTGTAAAAACACATCCTCTAAAATGCCATCCCTCTTGTAATTATCAAAAATGAAGAAGACGAAGTGTTTTGTCACCTAAAGTCAGTATTTATGAACACTTTCACTGTAATTTGGAACCTTTCCGTGCGTCTCCAGGGACCTGACCAAAAGCCTGTTTTTTCCTTATTAAAATAATTTGGGTCACTTTGAGAAAGTAACACAACCTACACATGTATTGATTTGGGTTCAGACCTGTAGCTGTGACATGACAGCGCTAACCACTGCACCACCCTGTGTCACCTGTTCATTCAGTAATGATAATACTTATTATAAGTATTAAAATTACCTGTATTTAACTCATAAGCATTACTTATGTGTTAAATATAGGTAATTTGGGCATTTTCAGCAGCAAAAGTCAGGTTTTATGTATATTCTGCACTGCACAAAGCAAAAATGTTGAACATGTGAAGATGCTTACTTATCTGGTTTTACACCGACTTACCAGTTGTTCACTTGAAGAATGGTGAGACCTGTGTCCTGTGCTAGCTGCTTTTTCTGTTCCTCTGATGGGTATGGGTGCTATTAGCAAAAAGGAAGATAGACTAATAGATAAGTGATGCACAAATTAACTCTGCAAACACACAACCTGGTCCTGTTTTGGCACCCAAACATTTTACACTAATGCATGTGGCTTTGTGCCACAGCATTTAGCGTTAACCGGGTGGTATATAAAATTATTGGATGGTATACAATGGTGGCTTTTATTTGGGACCCAGTAAGGCCAGGCCACTCCCCAACCCTCCCTGTCTTGATTCAACCTCTTTTCCTCTGGCCCCAGTCCCTTTGCAAACTCTGTGTTTGAGTGTGTGTGAGACTCTGGGAGAAGGGTGGCAGATGGCAGACAGAGGTGACCTGTCTACTCAAAGCAGGGTCGTGGGCCAGTCTCCATTCTGCTGTTGTCAGGCCATCTCCCGCAGTCATCATTGAAGGATGAGCTTTAAACTATTTTTCAGGGAAAGTCAGTGCAAGCACACACACATGCTAATTTCCTCTTTTTTTTTGTATGTTTGTCACACTTAAATATTTTAGGTCATCAAACACAAACATACACAAAATATTAACAGGAAATCAGGAAGGGGGCAAACACTTTTTCACAGCACTGTATATTATTACATTTACATTCTCAGACGTCCACAAAGACACACTCATATACTTACAAGCTTAAACACAACCATATATATTACAAATACACACACGCAAGCATTTGTACAGTAGGCCTCCAAATATCACGAGAGATGCACAGAGAGGAAAGAAGAGACACCAATTTAAATAACCAGAGGGGAAAATGCACAGTTAGCTTTGTGAAATCAAGTGTGTGATGGTGGATAGTCACACACTTGTAATAAAACACACACAGTCTATGTACTGAGGATGCTTTTTGCCCCCTCCTAGCTCTCAGCTGGCAGAAGAGTAGCATTTAAAATACTCTGAAAGAAGTAACATAATGTACTTTAGATAATGTTGTTTTGGATTCAATGTTAGATAACTTAACTCATTTTCTCAGCTTTTTCCAGTACAAATGGCCACACTGAGAATGGCTTTTTCGTGTTTGAAATTCACTCCAAGAAAGATGCTGTAAATGATTAGTAAACAGCAAACAGAATGTTTTTTATACAGCACCTTTCTACTCAGTACTCAAAGCCATTCACACATTTACACTCCGATGGAGCAACTTGGGGTTAGAAACCTCCCCAAGGATATTTGGGGAGGATTGAACCACCAACCTTCCTGCTCTACCTCCATGTAACCCCATTCATGGGTGTTACATGCAAACAAGTGCTTAAATTCAAGGTGAGAGAACATCTTTTCAGCTGACACTTATGAACACTTATGAAAGTTTGCTCTACAAACTCTGACACCGATCTTTGAATGTAGAGAGATAAAGGTTTGCATGGAAACCAATAGATATCGTTCCGCTAATAAGCAGGTAACGGATAATCTACTGAATTAAATCCTTGCACTGCTGCTTTTTATACAGCACTCTCGCAAAACCTTTAAGAGCTTTAAGAAGAGATAACAAAAGCAGGAGGGGACAGCTACTGATGGATAGAAACATCCCCACTGCCCCCACAGACATCTAACCACAGGCCTCACACTGTAATGTCTGACAAAACATAATCCCGCTCCTTTCACACCCTCAACAAGTGATGAATGCTTGAGCGCTTGGGTGTTGCAAAAGGCCTTTGAGGGGCCAAAGTCCCCTTGCACACTTTTCATAGACACATCCTGCCATGGCAAATACTTGTGCTTAACAAATTAGGCCTGAAAGGAGATGGGAACACAGAGGGGATAATTCAACTATCCTTGTCTTTATCTACAGAATCTAAAGGTGGGCTTTGGAAAGGAAGGGATTACTCCAAGTCCAGGACCTGTGTGGGCCTTTTACAAACTAAACAAGTGAGGGGTTACAGCACATCTAAGAGTATAAGAGGTAGAAAAGGTGAGGAGGCTGTGATCATTGGATAAAACGTGATGCTGTCCTTGTTGGATGTGCTCAACATCTTTACAGAGATGAGCTTCTTTTGAATGAAAGGCTTCTGATGTTGATTTCTGAAGAAAATGCCTGGACTGCTATTTCAAAAAAGGGACCTTTAGTCACAAGTTCCTCTTTGCTCCGTTCTCTTGCAATGGAACAAAGACGAACATGGTTTCAAGATGCATTCGGAAAACACAGAAAAACAGTGAGGACTCATTTCAAACAACTTTTGCCTGATGACGCGGCCTTAGCTGGACGACATTACATTCTGTCCTCGTGCACATTGTAGGGTTTCTATTACAGAGAAGCTGAGAAAATGTTGCAGTTGTATAAAAAGCCACAGCTAGATGTGGCTTGTCTGAATGAGGCTCTGTTCGCTTACTGTAAGGTGCTGGAATAGCCACGCTCTCATTATGTTTGTCGCCACTTTGGGGAAGATGCCTCGTTTCTTCTGTCTCTTCTTGTCTTGGTCATCCTCATCTCCCGTGCCTGGTGATGCCAAGCTGTTGTCAAGGCCGTCACCTGCAATCAGAAACAAAAGGAGTCATATTATCAGGAAGCTTTAACGTGGCCCGATCTCTCTATAGAGCCACGTTCTCCTTTATGGCACGGCAGTACAAATTTCTTTGTCTCACCTCTGCTTTACTTCCCGGCCACTGGATAATGAAGAGGAGTTTGTAGCGTAGGAGCTCAGTAAAACCAAGAGTTATTAATTCAATGTGAGCCACGGCTTTGACATGAGGTAATGACTGCAGGAGCTGTGCGGCTGACATGAGATAATGAATGTTCAAAATGCAGTCAGACTGTGTTCTGTGTACTCTTATGTGTATGTGACCTCTGTTTGAAGCAGGACTGAAGTAAAAGTGGGGACAAACAAAAACAGAAAGCCAAGCTTGTAAATGAAGTATGAACCCAGTGTGTTTAAAGTCACAGCGATGTGTCCGTATGGGCGACTAAGGCAGAACGAGGGGGTGTGGGTGGATGGGTTGTTAGAGCGTGAATCCTTCACCTTGCAGTTCAGTATGACCATCCAACACACACACTCCCCCTCCCCCTTCCTTCATCAACAATACAAGTGTCAGGCTGTCTGCATCACAGCATCATTCCTGCTCTGGATCCTGCTATTAGCAGCATCTCTGTTTGATTTCAGCAGGAAGCTGGCGCGGGTCAAAGCAGGAGGCTTCCTTTAAGCTGAGATTTCCGCTCCCACAAGCTAACTCACTCCAACTTGCAACACAAGGGGCACTCTGGTCTCTCTCCTTCTCTGACATTAATTGTGCATCATGCGAGATGATTTACTTTTAACAGTGGTGGTTATTTTTCTTGCCCTCGGGGCAGAGAAGCCTTGAAAGCCTGCCTGGAGGGTGTGTGAATAATGCATCTGAGAGACTCCTCCCCTGAGGCGAGACAGGAACCCTACTTTTCTTAAGAAATGCCCTAGTATGTCTTTTTGTTTTTAGAGATGCATCAATCAAATGTGCCTATATGAGCCATATTCATGCATAAATATTTCAGCTAATGAATATTGACACTAAAAAGCCCTGTTCCAGGGTCAGGCTCCAGGGGCTGTGGGAGTTTTACGGATGGTGTCCACCAGCTGTAAGTCACAGACAGGATAGCGTTCCTGCTGCTTCCGTCCCCTGCTGCTGTCTTCCTGTTTGTTTGTCCAGCTGCTGTCACTGCTAACTTCAACATGATGATAATTAACCAGCATAAAATTGTATTCTTACTTCAACTCTTTAGGAAAAAATGTAACACGAGCACATTCGATTCAGACTGACCTAATCATTCTAATTAACTACATACGCACCGACACTGACATATAGCGGCCAGAGAAACTGAACCCAAAGAATATTCAAATCTCCACTAAAATGATAGCTGTGTAAGAAAGACAGAGAGAAAAGGTCTTGCTCAGCTTAATTGTATCAAAGGGAGGCACACTGTTCCCTCTCCACCCCTCATCCTCATCACTGGTCTGCTCCTCTCCTCTCCTCTCCTTTCTTCTGCTCCAGAGAGGGAAAAGCCGCAGGGCATATCCTCTGCTACACTAATCGCTTCTGACTGTTCTCCGGCAACTCAGCCAATCTAACCAGTGTGTGACAGTGCAGTCTCAAAGTCATATGCCCATGCAAGTCTCCCATGCCCCTCTGCTCCCACCCTTTTTCATCTCTACTCCCCCTCCTTAGTTAAGTCTGCCTTCCAGTGTCTGCACGCGTGACACACGAGGGGGTACAAGGAGGGGGGAAGATACCGCAGGGATGACTGGAGTATTGCCCCGGGGTGAAGAAAAACACACACAAAAAATAGCATCCTGAGATATCAACACAAGTCTTCCTTTTTTTTTTTTATACCCCCTCAGCTTACTCGATAGATAGATCTGGTTCTACTGACCGCTCTGAAAACCAAACAGTCAGACAGCCCTTTGGCTGCTCATCTGGTCTGGTACGTAAATGGTGTGACCCACAGTAAATGTGATATTTATTATATGTTTAAAGGAAAATAATAATTTTAAAAAAGCAGTGAAATGTTTTTAGAAAAAAAACAAACCGAAAAATAACATCTAGATATTTAAATTGTTTTATATTAATCTCCCCACTGGACATGTTGGTAAGTAAGAAGCAGCTAGCAGAACTGATTGTCGCACCCCCCCAGCAGCATCACTGATGCAAAGCCAGCGTGGGCTACCTAATGAGCTCAGCAGGGCCCTGATTCATCATCACTGACACCCCAAGACTCCTCCCATTATTACACATGAGACAGAGCATAGAATGGAGCAGCCGGGAAGACTTCCAACACAGAAAGTGAACACATGACAGTTAGAAACTCTGATACGGAGGAGCATCTGTTTGACGGCAGGAAGCTTTCATGGTAGCAGCACCATGTGGCAGTGAGAGCTATTTATTCTTTCTTTCCATATATATATATATATATATGAATCCACTTTTTGAGTGATTGATGATATCATAGGTGAAAAATCATGTTTTTCACCTATGATTGAGGTACAGAGACAATTTAAGATAAGCAGGATTTACAGAGGATGTGTGTGCTTGCAGTAACTATAGTATAACTATAAATTATGCTCTCATCATCTGCTGTTTTACCTAAACAGGTTAGCAAAAATAAAAATGGCTTCTCCACAGCATTGAAAACTTCAAACTGCAAAATCCAGTGACAGACATACACTTTATTATAGGCTCAAAATCCGTTGTTAACAAATGTGCACACTGTTTGTATCTGTGTGAACACGTGGCTCCTGACCAGTTAGAGCATAATTTCACGTGTGACCTCAAGCTAATTACAACAAAAATTTTGAATAACATTTTTGTAAGCAGTCTGTGCAAACTGAAGTAAAACATGCACACTTACAGGCAATAAAATACAAAAATGTGATCTTTTTTTAAAATAAATAACTTGTAAGATAGATGCTGAAGGGAGGTGTCACTAACATATCAGCACCTCAAAAAGTACAACACATCCTGTCCCTCACATTCCACTTCTCAGCAAGAGTGAGGAGATTTTCTAGCTTCTCCCACTGCCTTTTGTTTTATTTGAATGGACACCTTCTCCCCCTCCACACTCCTGGGAGAGCACGGTCCGTTTAGCTGTGGTCAACCCAAGCGGTTGAGCTATCAAACACAGCCTTCTCTGCATATCACACAGCTTACAAGGCAATGACCACAGAGTGGGAGGTTACAGAGGAGCAGGCAGTTATGTAGGAGGCTACCAGTACCACCAAACCACTTCAGTATTCCCCAGTCACAGTGGATTTCTTTTTTCTGTGGGTTTCATCAGACCACAGAAGCTTGGTTAATGATGACGATACCATAATCACTGCCTGTTAGGAATGTTTTTAAATAATTCTGCCAGTTTGTAGAGTCTCTTTCACCACGTGTGCTTCTGAACAAATGTCACTGTTGTTGAAACTATGTTTGATCTCATTTCTTCTGTAGTCAAACTGTGACTGATTTATATACTGATGTATATATGAACCAATAATCAATAATGAACAGCGGAGACTGATTGATGGACATCTTGGACAAAAACGTCAGCAAAGCCATCGTTAAAAACGCCCGTACAGAACAAGCTTATGATGACATAATATGAAATTTGCTGTCTAACAACATTCAGAAACTGTTGAATAATGAATAATGAATAAATAAGATTAAGTGGTGCTGATATTTCCCCAGTTGCTTCTTTCCAGACTGTACTGTATGTTTTCTTTGCTTCAAAGCCCTTAATGAAGCATGTGGAATACCTGTGATCTTGGTTGAATGCTAAGAAATATTGATCCATCCATTCACACTCTCCTTTTCCCCTCTGCTACAGCTACAACTTCTGCACTGATGCCAAGTGCTGCTACCGAGCTTAAATAGTGCGTCTGGTGATTTGGTTAGGATCACCGACTCGAGAAAAGAAAACAGAACCACTAATGTTCGATGTATATTACAAACCACACCCTTGTTTGTTTCAAATGTAAAACTGCTGCAAAGAAAATGTTAATAATGAGGAGTTTTGGAGGCGATATAGGCAAAGACAGAAACTGGGGGATTAAAAATATACACAACACTAAGTTCTACAGTGAGAAAATAGAAGCAAGGTTTGTGTTGCCAAATACCAAATACTCACAACATTAATCATTCTTTATTGGACTGGACCGATTCCCATATAACTACAATTTTATAACTCAGTGAAGATCATCCGCCTGCTCTGACTGAGTTTAGTATGATTTTGTTCCTTTAAGGTTGTGTGCTCTTCAGGTTAGAGAAGCAGGATCTTTTCTTTTCTTCTTTATACAGAAAACAGTCTGTCCTTTCATCTCTATGAAGGGGCATTCTGCACCCCCATCCACTATCCATTCTCTACCAGGTCAAAGGGCGTGGACCTTGGGTTTTCCCTGCTGTTGTTTAAACAACAGCCAAAAGGAAAGAAACTATTCATAAGGCGATTTAGACTATGGACTTCCTCAGCTCACCTCTGCACCCAACTTCTGGATCATTAAAGTGTCAATTAAGATTTACCAAAACTGCTCTCTTACTGCATTTTAGTTGAAATGTAGAAGTGAAGATTGTAAACTGCTGTGTTTATAATCAAAGTAAGACTCTTATTCACTTTCCCATGTTCTTAAAATCGAATCTAAGTTTCCAATTGTTCTCTTTGATGCTCTGCTCACTACTACCTGATGAGCAGAAGGTGGAAAGTCTCTTAAAAGTCATAAATAGCAAGTCATAAATCTGTTACAGCCTCCAAACAGAAACCACAGGCAGGACACAGAGTGACAAAAGATAGAGCGGGGCTGGACACAAGCACGGGGAGACAGAAGCAGGCAATAACAGCAGTGAACTCAGTTTTCTTTATCAACTACAACTGATGTGAGGGACAACCAGCATATGTGCTTACTAGAGCAATTCATAATGAACTAAAGAAAAAGCTTACTAGAATACAGAGGTATCGATGTGCAAACAAGCAATATTATTTCTTGAAAATGTATGCTTTAGAAAGTGTAAAGGATGCATAAAATATATTCTGTGTATCTTTGTTAAACAGAGAAAGCAGACCAAACCAGAACAAAACCATTATTGCCATTCTCACAAATCCTTAATAGTTATATTCTAAACAGGAACAATTTATGAGTCTGAATAATGTTTGAAAACTTACTGTGACAGAAATCAATTCGGGAAGAATTATTAAGTCATCATTTTGCTGATATAATAATAGTCAGGCTTTGATTTCTTGGTTAAACTGGACATTAAAAAGACAAATTGCTAAGTGATATGCCTGCATACCTAAATACTGGTATCCAAAAGGTCCACAGCCAGAGCGCGTGAGTATGCTTGTGGCCATATGACTTAATAGTTATATCCTTTTATGTAGAAAACCGGGAGTAAATACACATATGTGTATTTGCTGTATGTGTTTTATAGCTTGGGCACTGTCTTAGAGCAGGCTTCCATGAACTTAAATCATCTGTTTTATCAATCAATGCAATTAAGCTAAAGTGATTAGATAAACTAGGAGTGTTGTCTTTCTTGAAATGCTCCCCCAGAATCACCAATCAGCTGGGCCCGGTGAGGTCACAACAAAGTCAAACCTTTGTTATGAAGGCCTGAAGGCGCTCTTACCAAGTTCGCTGGTGTTGTCTCCGCTCTGGGAAACGTGTCCCCCACTGGATGGTCCTGGAGTACCCACGGAGGGAGTGGAATGGGAATCATCCATGTCTCTCCAGGACGCTGGGTTCTGAGAGGTAGTGGACAGGTACAAGGAAATGAAGCAGGGAAGAAAGAGGAGGGTAAAGACAAAAGGAATGTCCAGTAAAGTCCAGTATGAGTTCCATTATGCAGTTAAGCGAAGGCACAAACACAAGTAATGTGACAATACCAGTTTGTCCATGAGGAAGGTTTGAGCAGAAAGTACAACAGCAACAGTTTAGTAACCCTGCAGCATGTGGATCCTGCCGTGTCCCGACTGTTTCTGTGACCAGAGTTGGGGAGAAACGTGCATTTATTGGGCTCACTGGCCTGCCACTCAGACTTTAGCCTAAACCCTCTTCACTCTCTGCGTCAGCTGTTTGGCAAATGGTGATCAGATGAAGGGCTCAGCAGATGACAAGAAGAAGCACCGGGACAATGGCACAGTATGAATAAGGCTCTCAATGCTGGAGCCTCTTTTCATACCCAGCCATGCAATAATTACAACTCCTTGGTACACACAGCTACTCAAAAGAGGTGACATGTGTTTTCATGTTCATCAAGCTAATGAAGAACATCTGGTAACAGGAACGGAGCCTAGTATATAGTGTTGTGTTCATTCACACAGGAAAAAACAGTCTTGTACAGTCTCTCTGTGTCTCACACTGTCCTGTCCTGCTACATCCATCATTTATACACTGACCAACTGCAGAGCACATGAGGCACTTATGAAAAAGTACACAGGCTTTGTCTTCTCCAACCCAGCATGTGCTCTAAATAAGTAATGGAATATTACAACACCATATTCACTTGTCAGTTGTGCAGTGGCAGCTAATAAACACGTCCTTCAGGTTCTTGGAACGTAAAACTGAGTTGAGGTCCATATATCGTTCAGAAGGATCGGTAAAATCAAAGTGCTTCCTCACACTTGAATATTGGAAACAGTTGCATTAAATATATATATTTAGAGACGTAACTTTTGGACTGGGGTTCGTTTTAAGATGACACAGCTGCATGCATTCATGAAACTGCAAACTACTGAATGAGTAGAAATTTCCTGTTTTCATTCAGATCATCTCATTTCATTTCATTCGACTTTAAATGTTCTCTCAGTTTAGCGGCGTCGTTGCTCATGCTGAAGGTTTGACATCACTGAAGCAGCGTCAACAGAACCATACACGACATCAAATATCTATTTCCGGGATGTCCTAATGTAAATCTTTTATGAACAAATTTACCAAACAATAACTAAATAGACAAAAATAATGCATATAGCATACAGACTGCTGACAAATGAGATTCCACATCAGTTTCAGTGCTCCTCTGCACTGATTCTCTTTCAGAACTCTGGAAAGTGTGTCTCTTCCCTCACTCAGTGTTTAAATATGAGCACTGTTTAACAGTTTTCCTCAAAAATCTTGAACATTTGAAAAGGATAAGATTTAATTAAATTAGAATGAGATTCTGACACAAATGTAGCCAGTAAAGCCAAAGAGAAAAGACACACTAAAGCTGATGTTGGACGACATGCTGTACCACAGTTTAACCATTATCCTCCTTGATTGTGATGAGTGTCATTTCTTGAGAGCTTCTGTATATTTACTGAAATTACTCATTTGAAAAAATTATACTTTTATTTATCTATTTAAATAAATATTCATCAATTTCAGATTAATTTTTTATCTGATCTGCAGCAACTATGAACTCCACAATGGAACATTACCGTAGTAAACCCAGGAATTCTACATTCTAATTCTACTCTTTACCAGTCCAATTTTTTTGTGTCAAAACTTCAGCCATCATCATTTTAAGATCCTCATGCTGTATGTAACTCTACATTAGTTCAAAATCGGACTTTCTTAGTAAATGAACAAAAATAGGAAGTCCTGTGTGAGGCACACAGCAGGGCTGCAGCCTGACACAGGCCCTGCGCTCTAACGTTTCTGTTCAAAGCTGCAGCCGTAGCACCGGCACTGATCATCCTTTCTTTCAAGCATTTCCATAGAACAGGCTGCCTTAACAGCACCTGTTACGGGCTTCTTTTATTTCCTGTTTTTCATTATTTTTATGATCTATATATATATTTAAAGAGATCATAACAATAATGAGCAATGAGAGTATATATATTTATATATATATATTAAATAACGACCAAAAAAAAGGTTTCCACGCCGTGACTCACATGATCTGCGAGATTAGTGGAGGATCCTGAAAGGTCGTCAAAGTCCGACTTGCAGACGTCTCTCTCCTCTATGACCAGATCGATGGGCATCTTTCCTTTCAGGCAGCTGATGTAGCGGTGGCAGAAGTTATCACAGAGCTCATGGACCTGCCGAGGCCAAGCTCACATTTAGCGAACACCACGAGACTGAAATACTGGATTAAAAACCTGTTTTCACTGAGCCACGTGAGAATGAATCTTTACCTTTTCTAATTCCAGCAGATGAAACCGCAGGACTTGAATGGCTTGAATCATCTAAAAATCACAAATATTTTTTTGTTGATGCTTTCGTTGTGGTTGTTTTCTATAACCTCAAAATATTAGCACCCATCCAATAATAATAATAATAATAATAATAATAATAATAATAATAATAATAATAACAATTCAT